AACAGCCTAAACCCTAAACACCCTAAACCTCAAACAGCCTCAACCCCAACCATCCTAAACCCTAAACACCTTAAACCCTAAACCCTAAACCCTTAACGTCAAATGATGGGGCGGGTTTAAGATATATCATGAACCCAACCCAAAATCCGGAACCCAAGCACTCTAAATCCTAAACACCCTAAACCCTGAACACCTCTCTAAGAGACTCTAAACATCCTAAACCGTAAACACCCTAAACCCTAAACGTCCTAGACCCTAAACATACTAAACCCTAGACACCTTAAACCCTGAACACCTCCCTAAACATCCTTTCCCTAAACACCCTAAGCGCCCTAGACCCTAAACATACTAAACCCTAAACACCCTAAACTTAAACAACCTAAAACCTAAACGCCCTAAACCCTAAGCACACCAAACTCTAAACATCCTAAACCCTAAACACACTAAACCCTAAGAACATATTAAACCCTAAGCACCCCAAACCATAAACACTCTAAACACCCTAATCCCAAAGCACCCTAAACCCTAAACATACTAGACCCTAAACACCCCAAACACCCACAACCCTAAACACACTAAACACCCTAAACTCAGAAGAAAAAGGCTAAATACCCTAAACCCTGAGCACCCTACACCCTAAACACCCTGAGCCCGGAAGAAAAATGCTAAAAGCCGTAACCCCTAAACATACTAAACCCATAACATAACACCCTGAACCCTACGGCCCAAACACCCTAAGCCTAAACACCCTAAACCCAAATACCCTAAACCCTAAACACACTAAACCCTAAACAGCTTCATTCCAAAAAAACCTAAGTCCTAAACACCCTAAACCCAAAAAAAACTCAAATCCAAAAAACCCTGAACCCTAAACATACTCAACCCTCAACACCCAAACCCCCGAAACACTCTAGACCCTGAACACCCTGGGCAATAAACGCCGTAAACCCTAAACGCCCTAAAGCCTACAACAACCCTAAACACCCTAAACAGTCTACTCCCTAAACGCCCAAGGCCTTGAACACCATGAACCCTAAACATCCTAAACCCTAAACACCCTAAACCCTAAACGCCAAATAATGGGGCGGCTTAAGATCCATGATGAACCCAACCCTAAATCCAGAACCCTGAAGTGGCCAAGTGACCCGCAAAAAAAGTTGCCAAGTGATCCGAAACGGTGCGGGATCCGAATTGGCTTCGTGCCCCCGAAAAAAATTGGTTAAGTGACCCCGGGTCCAGCAGGCTGGCCAAGATTTCGAAAACTCAAACGCTTATCCTGGATGTAGGGAACCCATTGGGGTAGCATTCCCAAAACTATTGGGATAATGGAAAAATGAAAACTGCTATTCAGGATTCAGGGTTAGCATTTCCTGAGCAGCCGGCTGAGATGCCGAACCAAAGCACAAGAATCGCGAACATGGTGGTGAAAGGGACTGCTCCTTGGTTGGTGTCTCAACAAATCAGTAAGCGCGCCCGCGCAAGCAGCTTCATGCTTCGTGCTTCTGAGCTGTCCACCAGATGACTTCTGGCCCCATATGAAGAGGTTGAGAATAAAAAAGATCATGAAGATGACCCTTAGAGCTCTTCATGCTAGCTTGTACGGTCGCGTTCTACAAGGCCCAGCCGCCAGCTTTGCTGGTGCAAGGAATGCAAATTTGCCTCAGCCTCTGGCCGACAAACGTCTGGAACAAGCTGACCGTGGCTCCCACGCACCCCCTCCCCCCTCCCCCCAAACTCCCACCCACCCCCCCTCCAGCCCCTGCCCCCAGAACTCCCCCAGCACCTCCCTTAGCCCCCCCCCAAAGCCCAAGCCTCGCCAGACATTATTGCTTTGCCATGTCTTGCACACACGCTGGCGCTTACAATTAATTTGGTCGCGAAGCTCGACGCATGCAATCAGAAAATAAACTGCACCAAATCAGATCTAGGCGCCCAGGGTAAAGCATGGCAGTCATCAGCGTATTGGTCTTCCAATCCTCTCCATTGAATACCTGCTGTTGAAAAGCAAGCAACATGACGTAGGCTGTCCTTACTCCCTCTCTACTGGCAAGTGTGCCTGTAAATATCTGACAGCTACGTGGAATCAAGACTGCTTAGTCCTTCCACAGCCGGGCCTTGTATAGCCGTGCCTTAGATGATGCTTCGGCTCAAGCAAGCATAGTTCTCCTGCACCCGTCCGCCACGGGTCGTACTTCTTCGATTGGCAAAGGGCGTCAACTCAAGCAAGGAACACGAGGACGCCTGAACAATGCAGCTCAGCGGCAGAAGCGTACCCACCAAACACCTCGCACAGCCCAACAATGCAGCACGCATATTTCGCAACATGGCAATAGTAATAGTAGTAGTATTGGTAATAGTAATAGTAGTAGTAATAGTAACAGTAATGTTCATAGTGATAGGGATTGCTGAGCCATGCTGCGCCCATGAAGGTGAAGAGCATCATCATCGACTGAAGCAGGCCGCCCCTCACAGGGCTTCTCTCTCAGTTGAGCGGTGAAGCGGTGAACACCAGCTGCTGGCGCCTATGAGCTGGAGACAAAAAGCCCAGAAGGGCGAAGATGAGCGTCACGACGGACATGCCCAAAATCTGTACCTGGGAGCTTAGCAAGCTCTAAATGGTGCAGGTGAGAGAGAGCCTGCAGTGCAAAAAGCAATGGCAGTGCACATACAAAGCTCGCGCTGTGTGACGACAACAGCAACCTCTACACAGTCAGCTTTTGCTTCAGAATGAGGGCCACTTAGTGGCTACAGCTGCGATGCCGACGCTGTTGCGGCGTCTGTTCTAAAGCTGTTCATCACAGAAAGTCCAACTTCCAGAGGCTCGGCCGGCTCCTCCAAATGACCACCATCTCCATCCAGATCACGCGTATTGCCAACAGATCCGAGTAGCACTGGTGCTCACGTCACTGGTTGCCACAGGTCACTCTCAGTTGCTCTGCCTCTGCGCGCCCTGGAGATTCGTCAGCTAGACTTCGGGTCTGGCAGGTTCCTTTGAGACCACCGTCAGCTACGGCTACCAGAAATAACCCTCCGTTTCTTGACAATACCTTAGATTGCACACGGCTGCACACGCGTCAAGTATTCAAAGACATGCGGAGAAAAACTGCTCAGAAGATCTGCATAGTTGCCGGGGCACACATCGTGGAAGACTTCAAACGTCACCGCTTCCATCGTGTAATTGCACAGCCTGTGCAACTACCGATCCCATCTCTCCCTGCCAGCAAGTCCAAACCCCTGCGAGGAGCGATGACAGGAACGAAAAGGGTGGGTTGTTTGCAAGCTGAACACCTTGAATCAATGAACCTGCAAAGCTGTTTCAGCCCTGTAAAGAGCCGCAGCCTGATTTCAATTCCAACGGTGATTCGTTTTCAGGTGCATCTCTGGGCGTGCAGTGGCATAAACTGCAATTGATGCGATGCGTCCCCTGGATTCTGCCAGCTAGTGGGTTGCGTGTTGATGACATTTTCCAGTAATCGCTGAAAACCGGCTCAAGCACCAGCATTTTAGAGGCTGGAAGCGCTGCCAATACAGGAGTCCAGCTCTTGGTCTGCCTATTGGCCAGTCCCTTCCCTTGTTTCTCTCCATACTCGATGAAGGCTAAGCCTGGCCAGAGGCACCTCAATTCCAGATCCGGGTAAAGATGACCTGCGGTGTTTTCTTCTTTCTGTTCTTGTTCTCCTTGTTCTTCCTCCTTTTCGGCATTTTGCCAACACAGCTCTCTGCCGCCAGGCAGCGTGATCAGCGCATCCACCGTGTCTGCTTGTGGCTGCGTTGCCAGGAGCTCATCCCGCTTCTCATCACAGGCACGCTGGTGCACCCGGCCTTCTCGTCAGCAGAGGAAACGCAGCAACATAACTAACTCCAGAACGTGAAACTGGTGCTGATGAGGACAGGGAACGGATGTCAACAACGTCTTGGACAGTCAATCCCTTTGAGGTGACATAGTCTCGAGCAGCTTCGGACAAAGGCGAGCCCTTCCTGATGCTGACGACGACGCGCGCACCAGGAGATACAACGTAGGTCGAGAAGTCCACTCTCATATGTTGCTTCCTACCTTCAGGTCCAATGCGGACACTTCGAAAATGTGACGATGGCGCAGGAAGAATGATGTCCCAGTCCCAGGGAACCTGGCGGTGCTCCGGCACAAGTCCCCATGAGCAAGCCTGCTGCCAAAGCGCTGTTGCCACAAGGCAGCCTTATGCGGCCTTGAGGCTGTGGGATAACCACAGAGATGGGCAGGCCCAACAAATAGGCAGGCAGTCTGGGCCAAGCGAACGGCAATTTCAAGAGCAATGTCTTCGAGAACCTGCACTCAGCAGCCATGCTTCTATACTCGCCAGAAAGATACCCTGGGCTGCAAGGCCTCTGTAGAACATGCGTCTCCATCACAGGCTGAATGTCCATTAGTATCTTGAAGCCCCACCAGCTGCAGTAGCCTTGAGGCTCTCATGCACTACAGCATCTTGAAGGACTGGGATTGAAGGAGGGACCAAACACAAGCAGTGTCCGCACAAGAAACGGATTGACGTTCTGAGCGACAGCTGTCAAACGATTTCCAGCAATCTCCCCTAGCTCTGTCACAATCCGGCCATCAGCCGTTGTTAAACAGCAGCTCCTGCACTTCAACTTTGCTTTGACCTGTCAGGAGGAGCCAAATGTTGTGCCAGCCAGTCCAAACAAACAAAGGTCAGTAAAAGGGGCGTACAAGGCCCAGACAGAAGTTGAAGGGCCCACTTAGGCAGGGCAAGGCTAAGAGGGTTTGCCCGCCTGCCAGATCAAGTCCGGCATTGAGGAAACTGGAGAGGCCTCCAGCAATGTGTGGCCGTTGATACCAACCACGGAAACCCGAAATTGACCTGGGGTTGGCTTTTAGCCATTCAGAGAAGCAATGGCCATGCGTCTTCTCTGCTCCGCGTGCTGTCAACTGACGGTTTGAACTCTCAGACTCGCGGCCGCTGTGGACATCCTGCTCGTCAGATGTGGTGAGCCAGGCAGATCTTTCCATGACTGACGCGCTATCCCAGGCATTGCTGGAACCCGAGCATCACGGATGCAAGCTGCCGGGCACTGATGGGGATGCCATGTCTTGGCGGGCAATTTCATCTGAGGATCAGACGCCAGAGCCTACTGAGACTGCCAAGAGCTTGCCTTGGTAGGAGTTTTGCAAAAATTGTGCGGTGACCTGCATGGGAATCCTTATGCAGCACGCTATACGCAATCTCTGCAGTCCAGAAGCCGAAACGAGGCTTGCGGAAGACGTCTCCGTGCACTAGTTTCCAACCAGTCTCCTGCAACAGGACTCAGCCCATCTTGGCTGCGAGAGATGATGCACATGATGCTTGGCGAAGGAATCGCATCCGAATCGCCTCTGCAGCTTCTTCAGCTGTCGCTAGCTCATTGTACTTGGTAATGTCACCTCTCACATTCACAGCGCAATCTGGCAATCTGACGGCAGATATCGCGGAACCCGTGAAGGTGCTTGCTGGCCCTTGGGTGGACTTTATGCGAGTGCTGTCGAGCATCGATAAAGAGTACGAAGAAGGATCATGGCAACCTTTGCGAGAGCTGAAGATAAGTCATGTCCGCGAAGTGTATTCTCTGCAACTGCATACCAGTATATACCAATAGTTTCAGCCACCGACCATGCCCGAAAGGAAAAGCATGATCATGAGAGAGTTCCTTAGCAACGCAGATCTAAAGATGTCTTCTCATCACTTGCTCCCCTTCTACGACTGAAACGTGCCACCCCGGGGCAGGATTGAGAACCAGTGGATTTGGCCGCCAGTCCTCGGATCCAACAACAAAAGTAAGTTCAGAGACACTTGAATCACGTGAGGCCCAGACATCTTCAGGTAGTTATCCCACCTGGACACCCATCGAACCTCGCCTGAGCCGCACGTCGTTGCGAGGTCGTTCCAGAGCTTCATATTTTGGACATGTCACGGAGAATGCTCAGAGCTGCTCAGACACCAGCCAAAACCAGATTCGCACGTTCAAGTTCCAAAATGCTTAGTGAAGGCCATGCGTGCAAAGAATCAAGCATGTGCCCATTGTCCTGAGAAGAGCACTGTACTCCCATGCAACATCGTACGTGAAGATGACTTCCTGTCATGTCAATGACTCAACAAAGGGCAACAAGAGTGGCCCCTCAAGGAGAGGGGGTGGGGATCAGGACGCATGTCTCAAGTTTTGACGTTGATGGGGAACAACAGGCGACTCTGTCAAACAGCACAGTTCCAGCGTTTTGTTACCTCTGAACAAGCTTGTCCCCTAGCTCGCGTGTTCACTTGCTTGGAGCCGTGGGTTAGTCTACCTGAGGGTTGCCAGACGTGTCGCGCAACCACGTCACGGTGACGCTAGATTGCAACGCGTGAAGAGCCGAGTTGTCGAGGCTGGTTCCCAAAGCCCCAAGAGACGCTTGCTTCCTGTGTCAGATGCTACTGTAATGCTAGCTACGCCTGAGGAACACGCGAAAAACCACGTGGAGCGAGGAAGAAACACGCTACAAGTCCCTTCTTCGCGGATTGTTTCCTGCATTCTGCTGGCGGGAGCGGCCTAGAGAATCCCAAGGGTGCATGCTGCCACTTTGTTAAAATGATCTTGTAGCAAGGCCGAGCTTCAAAGATTCTCCTTAGTCTGTTTGAGACCTTACGCACAGAGCCTGCACATGCGTGCAGGGGAGGTGGCGGCCGTAGAGGCCCCAAACAAACATATTTGCAGCATGTTTCCCAACACTGGTCTTGCGGTTCAGGTCGCAGACCCAGCGCAGGCCGAAACCACGTAGAGGAAGTCCGAAAGGCAATAAAATACGATGCGTGAGGGGGGTTGACCTTCTTCTGGAGAGGGCCAGACGGAGGTGCCCTAGGAGCAACCTACAGTATAAGCACGGTTGCATCAGAACTCCAGCCACGAAAGCAAGTCAGCATCAAGCAGTAGGCTCGTGAACTTTGAGATCATGATGTACAGCCTATGGAGGCCTGACGCCTTCACATGCCTTCATCGTACCCAATCCCAAGCAATGCACTCCATGCAGCCTTACCTTCCTGGAACTGACGCCAAGAAAGAATCGTCATCGGCGTTGGATGAAGGAACTTGCAAGACAGCAGGTAAACGGCACTTGCTTCCAGACCATGCCAGAATACAGTAGGTGCCAGAATTGGGTCCCGCAGAGGTTCCCCTCATGCTCCTATTTGAACAGGGTAGAGCAAGAAGTCTTCTGAAAAACGGCAGGGCGGCGTTGAAGGTGTCCAGCTCCATGAGCTGGGCATCAGGTCCTTCCTCACCATATCCACAGATTCCCAGAGACAAGACACAAACGAGACGACTGAGCACTTCTGCCTCGCCTGGCAAACGGCCTTCAAGCCTCCGGGCTTGCTGGGATCTGCCTGGGTCGCCTGCCGCTTCACTAGGTATCAGAATGCCAAGGCCTCTTTAGACCGGTGCACCCTTTGCCTGCACGATGCTCCTCGGCTCGATCTCGAAACCCACTATCCGGTGGCCCTCGTACTGATCACCTGAATTAGTTGAATGGCGGTCACCCGCTCTGCGCCTCTATAAGGCGTTGCAAGCACATGCAGCTGAGAGCCATGCTAGAGTGGTACTTCAGGTCCAGCTTCAAGTGGTTGTACAAGTAGTACCTGCATGTTCAATCGCAGCTGGGCGTGATGTGATTGGAATGTCCTCATGGCATCAAGCCAGCATCATGTACATCTCCTGAAGTTTACCGACGTCAAGTGTGGCTCACCAGGTTCGGACTGACAGCTTGTCATTCCTCATCCACCGGATCTTAGAACATCTTTAAATTTAAACTCTTGGCAGCAGGGGTTGAGGTTTATCCCTACTCTCCCTAGAGCAAGCTGCTGCAGGGCACTTGCCGTCCTTCTGCACACCGATCGGGAAGCCATTCATGTACCTGACAACTCAAATGGCTGCCAACAAGTCTGACACACCTCGCACTAGCTACCCGTGTCAAAGAAGCACCAAAGCTTGTCAGCCCTCCAGCTGGAATCGCCCTTTGATCTAAGGGGATGCTATCCTCCAGAAATTGGGAGGTAGTCTGCGGCGGCGCAAGTCGTAAGTGGGTCCCGACCCTTGTCGGGGCCCCCCAGACCAAATAGCAGGTTCAAGATCTCCAGGGTGCGCTGCGAAAAGAGCTCTGCGGCAAGACAGCGTTGTTGTACAGCATCACACATCACAGGACAAATCACTCAGCAGCCCACCGAATGACTTCACCATCAAGGTGTGCATGCATGCACAAGCCAACACTACCTGCGATTCCGGGAAAATCTGCAGTTGATAGGGCTTGTTTGACGACAGCTGCAGAGGAGGGTGTGAAACTATGAAGAAGCTACCAGTGAATCCTCAGGCAAATGAAGTCAGCCGGCAATTGCCAAAACAGTGCCTCAAGCTTGGGCACAGGGGGCATCAGGGGGCATCTGGGGGCTATAGAAACAAGGCCAAGTCCGCATTTGCTCGACCTGCCCGAGTTGCATCGTTAACGTTGCGTCTGTGCAAGGTTTTGCCCAGAGCGTCCCAGGACCTAACCTGGAAGCAGAGAGGCCGCATCGTGGCAAGCAGACTAATTAAGCGCGAAGCACAACTACCCTTGCATATGGAAGGATGAAACATTCAGCCACGAAAGGCCTGAATCTGCGGGGTTCTTCGACTAAGCAGGAAAATTGCGAGGTGCGTGTCTAAATGCCAAAGTTTGGAGATCAGCTTGCATCTCAGTCGAGGCCCACAGCAAGTTTGTCTTTGATCTCGCGCAGCTGCGAGTCAATCCGCCTGGAAGGCTAGTCAGCATGGACCTGAAAGCCCTTTCCCGAAATGAGCTCAGCAAAGTGCAGGCCGTGGACAACTACTGCAGGTTTGTAACCTCATCCGACGCTTGGTCTTCTGGGACTCCTTCTTGACATCATAAACCTCACTCCAAAATTCCAAAGTACACACGTGGCAGGGTGTGCATCACTGGCCTGTGATAGTCACGTTGCCTCGGCTGTCATGCCTATCCACATCTCTTCGCTAAGAAGCAATGCCCTTCACGTCGATGGCTTTTGCAGGACCCTTCATGGTCAGCAGCCCAGTTGTAAACTCCTGGCACTGTACCATGTGGCTCGGAAATTGTTCAGTTCAGCAATGCTTCCGTTGCGCACGTCGGGTAGCCGTTATGCACACCTATGTGCGATGCACAAAGTTTTGCTGACGAACGGAGGCACACTGGCTGTAGAACACACTCTCAGATGGGTCGAAAGCTCCTCCAACGATACAGAGCCGTCCTGCGGACGTACATGAATCTATCACAGCCGAGCAAGTTGGTAGCACATGCACCAACATTCCTTGTTGGAGTCGATGAGGCGAAAGATCTGCAAATCAGCCATTGAAAGTGGGGAGGGATGAGGTGATGAGGTAAGGCCGTGTAAGCAGATTGCCCCGTTTGCCTGCCACGCGTTGTCAGGATCAACGTTCAGATGAGCCAGGTATGCCTGCCTCAATTTCCGAATTTTGGACTGTCATTCTGGGTAAGGCGCTTTCACATCCGACCTCCTGGCCATACATAAAATCAGAAGTGTCGTGGATGAACACAAAGGCGGGAACCCGCAATGTGTGTTTCCTACTCTGCAATCTTCCAAGTCACAAGTGCTCGTCTTGCATGAAGTTCTCGAACTCCTTTGTGTCACGACAGTTGAGTTTACTGTGCCGCTCTGAGCGCAAGGTGCTTCAGAGCAAACGTTTGTCCCAGTCAGGCCGCTGTGTAGGAGATTTCTCCACTCTCATCACAATCACCTTCTTCAAAGATCTGCCTGCTGAACTTGAATCTGGATGGCATATGAAGGCATGATAAACTCTGACAACATGTTGCAAGGTAGGGGCTACCCACACAGAAGATGAAAAGCCATGCACTGCAGTAGTCCCTGTGCACAAAGTCTGCCTGAAGTGCTCCAAATACCTCAGGTTAAACAATCATAGCGAACCACTCTACACTCTTGCGGCAGTTTTTTAAGTGTTGCTCGTGCCGCTGGCCCTGGGTGACAGCATTGTTCCAATACAGTTGGCAGCCTTGTATCTCCAAAGTAGCAATTGAATTACGGAATGACAAGTTTCCAATTGTTTGTCATTCTGAAGGGATGCCCTCTGTCTCATACTCAGGTTGTGAGGTGGGCATGTGGAAGCGACAACTCGCGCGCATGCCCATACTAGACTTGCTGACATATCGCATGTCTTTTTCAGAGGATAGCCTATTGGGGATTGTCCATGTGAGCTGTAGGTCGTCACTGCACTCAAGTTGTAGCTTTCACAGAACTTACTATGAAACTCAAATATTGTGATACTTCTGCTGTTCCCTAGGCGTACGTCTGCCTGGTCATCTTGTTGTGTCTCCTTCCATATGGGTGGACTTTCTCTCATGCTGACCTGCTACTGTAGGTTGCACGTTTTGCAAATTTTGACGAAGCTAACCCAGGAATAGCACAAGTGGAACTCGAAAGTTCTGCGTCAAATTTTTGACATAATGAAGAAGCAGAGGAATCAGATTGAACTCTTGGGCCATGGATGTACCCTGAGCAAACAACTGTGCAAGCATCAGTTGTAACATCAGCTTCAGTGCTCACAAGGCAACTTGTTGGCCAAGGGACAGATGTTTTCGCCGGAGCTGCTCCTGGCATGCAATCTGCTGAGCATGCCTCACTGACCTGCCACTGCTTTTGGGCATAAACTTCAACATTTGACCCAGAGTGCTGGACACCTCGTTTGGCTTTCAAGGTCCTTATTTCTAAGATGCAGCCACAAAGTCTTAACTACACCACTTGCAAAGTGTCACAAGGCGGTGCTCCTGGATCAACGAATCTTTTTCTGAGCGGGCCATTTCGAAGGCGTGCTCACAAAAAAAGCCGGTTACAACCTGAGATGGCCGTCGTCGTCGTTGCTTTGCAGGGCTTGAAACTTGCAAGTGCAAATACCCCCGGACAAGCAAAGCAAAGGAAACAAAATCATATAACTCTCCGTGACATAACGTGCGACCAATAAGTCGGACGACAACAAAAACCGAAACCCATGGCGGGAAAGCAGCAGCAGCAGCTAGTGGAGACACAACAACCCAACGAACTACTGGCGAAACACAGTCCACAACTTGGGCTGGACAGTTTCCAACCTCAGATGAACTAACTAACCTTGTTCCGGTGCCAGCAGCACCCTCAGATGTATACATCTTTGATGTGCAAATGCCCCCACACGGGCAAAACACTGGTGGAAAACTACATGGAATTATGTATCTAAACGGCCCTAACGCAATCTAATAACCAACAGAACAAGCATAACAATCTCACTACTCGAGCTTACTTCACCTCCACCAAATGCAAAATAGCACCTAAAAAACAAACACTTGCCAATATGCAACATGCTGCATTCATCATTGCGAAAATCATGAAGCAGATGTACAAGACCTGGAAAGCTGCTGAACATGTGCATTAGACCGGCCTCAAAAACACAAACGATTGAACTGGAGGGCAAACCTAACAGTTGGATCATGCGGTTTAGGGCTCGTGACTCACGTCTGAAGTGATTTTGCAGACCTTCAGGTACATGAACATGGCCATACATAAGCTCTTCACTGCTGTCACGGCACCCCTCCTTGTAACACGTCGCGAGTTCAGGGATCAGAGGGATCTGAAAGAAAAAACACTATCGGGATCAAATGTCAAAATAAGGAACAGGAAATAAGAAGACGGGAATTTGGGAAATTTAAGATGACCTATGCAATAGCTCCATTTTCTCAAAGTGGCACTACGCCAGAGGGGTGATGTGGCTCAACCCGCGCAATATCCCCCATTTGCAAACCATTGAGGAAAGCGACACTTGTTGATGAGGGTTTACTATTGGACATGATACAAGTTCATGTCTACAAACAGCGGGTTCGGGAAACGTAGCAACCTGCCATTTGCAAGCCTCTGACTAACGTCGGGCTTCGTGATGAAGATTCACTATTGTCCATGTTTAAGAATGCTGGACGGGGGGCAGCGCCAGCCCATCTGCAAAACATTGAGGAAATTGGCACTTGTTGACCAAGATTCAATGGCAGACACGTTACAAGCTCATGTTTAATAAAAAGCGGGAAGTCGGGGGCGCAGCCCCGCCCCATATGCAAACCATTGAAGATTTTGGCAGTTGTTGACAGTAATTTTTATCAGCCTAGACATGCTGCTGGCTCATGTAAAAAGAGCGGAGGGCTGGGGGGAAGCACGGCCTCCCCTTTAGTAAACCATTGAGGAATGTGGCAACTGTTAATGAGGATTCACTATTTGACATGATAAGTTTCATGGAAACTAAAAATTTCTAAAACGATGAAAGATTAAGCATGATGATATGCATGGTGGCATGTTGGAAACATGTTTGAAAGTCTGATGAACACTTTTGCCAAGTGATGGAACATGGTGAACCATGATGGAAGAGGACGCATAATGCCAAATGAGAAGTCACGAAATGGAATATGATGAAAATTGCTATTTTGAGGATTACCAAGTGTAGTGATAGTCACAGGCAAGACACGTGTAACGTTTGTGTCTTGAGCCAAATAATCGGGTGTAAAATCTCGGTGTGAAACTGCTTCGTGATGATCTACATAACATGGGTCAAAGCCACATGATTTCTCAACTCCCCCCTTGAAAACAGCATGACCAATTACCTACCAAAATTATGCTCTAGGAACTGCTTGGTGCCCTGAGTTAAACCCTAGCTCAATGAGCAACTGCGTCTCACAATGCTTCAGTTCAGCATGTGCTCGCGGCGTAAAAGCCGCTACAAATTTGCGACACTTGGGCCATCCCGCGGCACATTGCAATGCTTCTTGGCTGGCTGGAAAAGCGCGGACAGTTCAAGAAAGCTGCCTGGAAGGTTGCAATCATGCTGTGGACATTGTTG